AAAAGTTTCTTAAAGCGAGAACGCTGGAACACAGTCGGACAGGTAACCTGAATTTCTTGCACAGGGACAAAGGCGACGTCGTCCGGAACAAACGGCGTCCAACGGTTAAATTAGAGTGGTACACGAGATCTCGCGAGCTTTTGCCGCCGGTGTAATCTCGATCTCGCCGACCGAGAGGTCGTTTATCCTCCCTCGAGCTATGCGGCCGAGAGATGTCCGGCTTCGTTCTCACGTGGTCCGCGAGGTTCAGAACGCGCGCACACATACCGCCGTTAGAGGACGATCAAAAGGCCGGCAAGAATGCTCGTCGATGGATATTATGGGTTCGCCTGCAACCCCTTTCCGACCGGAGAACGTAAATTTCCACCGTTTCTTCGAGCGAAGCCCGTCCGGTGAAACCCGATATAAGAAATTTCAAAGTGGAAGCTCTCGGTGCTTGTCGTAATCGATGATTTATTACTCCGCTGTTTGCGTATTCCTCTGTTTAATTTGAAATTAACCCTTTCTCTGGTAAGGGTAGTTATGCAAATTTGCGGGAGTCCGAGCACGTTATATTATCGATGATGTAGAATAGAAAATTTTCTATCGAGCTATCCACATTTCTTTGCTAATAGGAAATTCTCTGGATTCTTCGATGCGTTTCTATCATTCCTAAGCGTATTTCAAACTGTTTATCTTATTTATTCCTATATACCTCGACGGACTGCAGAATTCACGCGACAGATTAATTGCACACGGAAACCACGCGGAATCTGGGAAAAGAATCGGTCGGTAACGGTCGTGAGAACTTGGATCACACCGATTTCCCTGATGTCATTGAGAAACCATAGACATTTTACTTGGCTCGTATCAATGGCTAGCTGGATCGAAATCCAGTACCGGCTTGAAACACGAGATGCCACCGGCGGAAGTACCGGTCGAAGGAGAAATAAAAAGGGTTAGAAGGAGAGCCGGTAATTTCGCGTGGGCGTTCGGACCAGTTACGCTCGAAGGTTGACGAGAGTTCCAAACGGCAAGTTCGAATTCCGATGGGTGATTCGATTCGATTTAATTAATCTCGCGGCGAAGTGTGGAATAATCAATTTCACTGGGTAAACTTCCAACCTGTGCTCGGGGATGAAAAATTTTTAGTTTCATTTTAAATCGAGTTGTCCTCTCGACACCTTGCATAATTAACGATTCGATGCAATTTTTAATTTTTTCGCGATAAATGTGCCTGTTTATTAGTTTCATCGGAAATCCGCGGATCAGTCCGCGAGTTTTTGCTTCGCCAGAGTGTTTCAATCGGGGTGGAAAAAAAAGCGCGGAGCGCCAGGCTCGCGGAAAAAGAGGCCAGCATGCGAATCGATATCGCTTTCGGAAGGATCCGTTGGCCTATCTACGCGAAGTCACGCGAATTTGGGGCGTGGATTCACGAACGAAGGGTTACACACCGGTGCACTGTCGTTAGTTTCGATATCCATCGAGGACGAGATCGAAGCCGTTCGCGTTTTCGACGACCCGACGTTCGCATCCCCCCCGTTTACGTCTGTCCATTTCGCAGAATTCAATTGCAACGAGTCTCGCTGACACGACGTTAATTACAAAGTACACTCGTGGATAAATGGAACTTGTGATCGTTTGGCATGAATAACACGATACCAGGCGAAAAAAGTGCAGACCGATCGTGCGATACATTAGTGCACGACCTTCTGTCGCAGTTTGCCAGTCACGTCATCGACTATTTATGCGTATGAAAAGACGTGGCGTATTCTGAAAGAGAAGAGACAAAGATCAGCGAGCAACGTCGATTTCATTCTTGGTCACTGACTCGATGATTTCTGGGCCCGGTTCGATGAGAAGAATGCACGAGGGATGAAGGCAAAGATATCACGCAAAGAGCTGGACGATCTCTTCGGCGAGGTACGATTTTACGATGGAACGTGCTGGAGTTACTTGCTCATTTTATGCAAAATTATTTGCATATCTCTGACTACTTTCAATGAAATTGCATACGAAGTTCATGGTCACAGATAGAATAATTTATCAGCTTGATTTCGCGTGGAAATGCGCCTCCGGGAAGTCCGCGTGCCTTGATAAGTGATATTTCTCTATCTGTAGCTTGTATCTACCTTTTTGGAGCGGCACTTCGTTAATTGACTCGATATCTGCGGGACGGTTTTCTAATCTCTGATGCAATTAATATACGTACAATGTGCAGCGAGGCAAAGAGGTGATGATAAATCAATGATTTTCCGAAAATTAATTAGGAACCGGATAAGGTCTGTCATAGAAGAAAAAAAGGGCTTGTCCCACATTCTCTCGTTCGTTTTCTTTTATCAGGACCGATATCTAGTCATTGAGATCGCGTCGCGAGATCAACCACCGTTATCTATCACGTAATTCTTGCTCGTACAACACGACCACAAGAATACGTACGAGTAGAAACACGGTCGAGTGACTTACGAGCAACAAGGAAATTGATTGGACCGCATTGACGCCTATATGCAACGGAACGAGCACTCTTCTCAGACGTTCTTTCGCTTTTTATCCTTTCATCCGCGGCACGTCCGATGTGTTATTGCTTAAACGACGTCGTGTGGCAGCATGGATTAGAGACAATTAATTTTTTTTACTGAAACGCTTGACGCAATTCCACTTGAACAGATCTTGCTCGCCATTCGAACCTGAACACACGATTTATCTTTGCTCAGAGTCGCCGAGTTTGTTCTCTTCCTTTTTCTACGCTCGATCGCCGATAAATGTCCGACAGTTTCGTCGCGACGCGAATGTTTGTTTGCACGCTTCTATTGAACCGTAGCGGTTGATACGGCTATTATAGCGCTGGGAATAATTATTTTAAGGAAACGGAGAGATTGTCTGCACTTTGGATCGAATGGTGATGAAGATGGTCAAGGGATGCAACCCCTAGTATCAAGTTGGATCCAGAGACTTCGTTGAAACTTTCTGCGCCACTAATTTCAGAAAACATTTATCTTGTATCTCATAAATGTCCTCATTGATTACGTTTCTTGGACACGCGTTGCACTCGTGATGCATTCTATTGACCTACGTATTAGACCTAGAGTATCGTGTAATCGCGATATCATCGATAATTGAAGCCGTAATCAGTCCTCAGACCTTGACTACGATTCCCTAGTTTATTGGAATCCAGCAATAAGACAAAGTATGAAATGCAATTCCGTATTGTTTCATTCTTTGTAACTAGAGGAAGTAACAGTATCTACTTGTTGCTTAATTAAAACCACGCCTTTATTTACACGAGAAGCAATCGTGGCTGGTGTAAACGCGGTGTACCGTATTCCGGTAAGCGACCTCCACGATCGACGGGATCGATACCGGGAACCCCGCGGACCTATCTGTCGATCTCGATCGTGCTTGATCGCTCTGGATGCTGGGCTTTGAGAGGTCGATCGTGATTGCACCGTTCGATTCTAATTCGTACGTTTGTCTGTGCCTATTTCACTGTAATACTCCGGCGGAGCTAAACGCGATGCACTTTGTAGCATCGTTGAAACAAATAGCTACTTGGCATGAAAAATGATTGACGTGTGTTCCGTTTGAAATGAGTATATTTCGCATTGAACATCGAAACGGAGATTTTTGCAAGCTATCCGTTATTTAAGCATTTGCATTTATTACAATTGAATACTAGAGAAAAAGTAAGAAGGTTGAATTTGTTAACACGAGAAATTGATTCTTTCATGGTTTATAAAGATTGAAACCCTGAAATCGTTTTTCCTCGGAAACGAAGGATTTCTTCTTTATTCCTGGCGGCAACGTACAGCAAGATTGATCGTCCTTGCCGCAGAGCTTTGTTAAAACGAACGAAACGTTTATAAATGCAAAAAACTGCTGCAGGATCGGATTTTTAAACGGGTCTGGTGACGGTTGAATTAATGAAGCGTGCATAAAAATTTGCGTGCCAAGAAAAGGAGAAAATGAAAAAAATCATGCTGTCGAGATATTTTTCGTTGTAAATGAAAGTGCATGCTTATCTGAAAACGTGCACGACGAATATTTATTCCTCCTCATCAATCTACTGCAAAGATTCGTGTTTCACTTTCTTCCATTCGTTTGTCATTAGAATTTGTTGTAAAAGGGATACAAGTGTTTGCAAAATTCTCTTGCCAAAAAGTGCAATGAAAGAAATTGCACAACAGTTGCATTGCATTTAGAAATTATCCTAATTCGTCAGGAAATTAATTGCTACTCCGTGTGAATTCTTATTTTTTTTTCGTTTTTCTTTCTTAATTCGAAAGAGGATGAGAAGTTTTGTTCTGTGACATATATGCGAGCAGCTCCACTTACGCCTTTCATTATACTTCTATGCTAATCGTTATTATGGCAAGTTGTTGCATAACTGCAATTATCGTACCTCGTGGAGCAACGTTCCTCGGTTGCACACTCGCACGCGATCTTTTGTAGTTTCAGCTAGGGTCTACGAACTTACCTTCCACGCAAGGTGTCTGACATTCCTAATGTTTCTTGTTGATAATTACTCAGCTTGTTTAGTGGGTCGATTGCCATGGGTGGTCGGTGACACAAATTTCATAATTAGGAAAGGGTTGTTTTAATTGGATCATTATCAGAACATGACTGTTCTATAATAAACCAAAATAAATTTTTTAGATTTAATTTTACTTCATTTCGAGGACCATTAACTTCATTTAGATAAAGTTTTTAATTTATTCAGAAGATACGTTTCGAGCGAGCACGAGTGCTCTATTCGGTAACAATCGCGTAGACGAACGCGCCTTTCGAAAGTTGTTTTTCAGCGAACCGTGCCGGCCGATCGTTTACGATACAATTGTTCAGAGGCAAATATCCGCGACTAATCGAACTGTGTCATCGTGCAATTTATGATGTATGGCACTATGCGTAAGCGTTTCGTGCGGTCTGATTCTTCAAGGATGCCAGTCGTACTTTTAAACATCATCCAACCGAGCTGTTTAAAGGATTAAGCTTCGCGACTGATCGTCTCGATGCTCTGATTACAGGGTGCTAGATTCCGGGATACCTCGCAACAAATACACAAGCAATGGCAGGCAGATCCGGCAAGAGCGTTTCCAACAGTCGGGACCGTCACCACAGGTTCAGTGTCCCCCACGTCGGGCGACATTTCAAGCCCGAATTCAACACCCAGTCCGAGTCCTAGTCCTACGAACAGTCAACAAGTCACGGTAAGTGTTTCTGGACCCGTTGTTCTTGTCCGTCACACATTTCACCGACCACGAGAGGCCGTAATTTAGAAACTATCTGTAAACTAGTTAGAGTAACTCGACAGGGTAGTGAAATATCATAATTTTGATAGCAGAGGTAAATAGAATCGTAGCAAAACGATAGAAACGAGAAGTTGACAAATGAAAGTTTAAAAAGAAATGAAAAATATTGATATCGTGGAGGGGATTTAAAAATCACTCGGTTCAAAGTTGCGAGCACTTTCAATGCGATTCAATCTGAAATCCTGGAGATGCAACGAAGCTTGTAAAAATCCTAGCCTCGCTTCCCGGAACCAATGGGGTTCTATCTGCAGTGCACGCGAAACGGGTGAAATCGCGATGTATGCACCCCTTCCGGGCGTAAATCTCGAGGATAGCGATTGAACGTAGATACGGGAGCAGCGAATACCTTCTAAAACTCTCCGGGGATGTATCAACCACCAGCCGGGATTCTCACATACGTGTGGGTTAAGTTAGCACTCTCGTGCTTTGTACAGGGCGTACCAGCAGCAACAGTCAATTTTCCTTCACCGTTTCTCTGGAAAATATTTTCCGCTGTACTTAATTTTTTTCCCTTACAAATCGATGAACTCAAAATATTTTAAAAGAGGTTTCTGCTGAATTTTTTTATTATTTAAATTACACTGCAAAGCTGAATGCATTAGCGAATGCATAGAACTAAACACTCAGCTATTGTTCGCGAGGGGCTATCGGTATTCGAGCACTACATCCAATTGAACTGATCGAGAAGTTAGGGTGGGGCAACCCTCGTCCATAGTGGCATTATTCTCTCATGTCTGGGCGAAGTTTGATTCTGGGTCACCGGGACTTAATGAGAAATCACTGGGATAGAAATTCCTTTTCGAAGTGGTTGCGTTAATATTGATAAATTGAATTTGCAGAAAAATTAACCGTGATCCACCTGTTGCTGCTGAATGAAAAATTCTCATTCAAAAGATATGAAACAAAAATGTTATCGAGGAAGCATTTAAATCGTCTCGTACGTCAGAGGATATATATGCAATCGTGTGTCATAATCACTCGACTTAATCTTGTTTTTGTATTCCTCGAGATCATCTTCGAGGAGAGGTTACTAGACAAGATGATGCGAAGAATCGAGCAACAACATTCCGCTGACATGAACGACAATTTGTACGTTCCCGGGTAATCGTCGATGATCCCATCCTTATTTTTTGTCCGGTTGACCTAATTAAGCAATTACGAGGGGCTAGTAGATTATCAGTGTGCCACGAATTTCGGCGTCCACCGTGGAAACAAAACCGCGGCCATGTATACACGGTGGCGTCGATTAAACGACCGACAGCGTACTCCTATCGGAACATCCAATTGGTGTAAAGTCCAATTGGATTATCGACGCTCGTTCAATTGCACGTACGATTCCAGCTCGACGTTATTATCGCGTTAATGTCGATTAGTCGGTTGCATGTTTGCTAAGCATAATGCAGACTCGCCGTCAAAACATTTATAACCGGCCAATTTCGGCGCTGGATGATTTTAATTGAGGCAACGTTCTCTACTAGATCATAATTTTGAAATTGTATTTCGACCTCGTGAAACTCCTCCAAACTAAAATCTACCTCGAATTACCCCCCATTCCCAGTTTTCCCATTTCAACGAAATGAAATATTTATTTCCTGCAAAAGGCTGGCTGGAGAAATCCCAGCAGGTAGCCGAAGAGCAACCAGTCGCATTAAAGATTTTCTTTCATTAGCACTGTCAGAGATCGGGACGTCGGCTGTTAAACATGCAAAGAAGTCCACTACCCCCGGATGTCGGGCGAGTTCCGTGAGTCGTTTGCAAGGCTTCTTCGACGCAGGTGAGCCCGTCTCACCGGGTCATGATTAATCCTTAAACGTTTTTACTAGCGCAATACCCGACTCCTCTCGTCGTCACGAGTTAATTAACCCACCGGGAGTTCCAGCCCGGGGCCCGAACGGCCACGAGTCAATCTTTCGATAATTAACGTCTTAATCGAACGATCCTACCGCAATTACTAGCACCGAATTAACCGCCACGTATCACTTGGGCGATCTAAAGATACGCTGCTGAGATAAGACGAGAGTGGGTTGTTTGTGTTCGGAGAAATGTAATTCAGGGACGAATCTGGTCGTTGGAAATCGGTAACCGTTCATGGTAAAGGGAGGGAGAAGGAACAAGAAAACGGGAAGCGGAGGTTAAGAGGACGAGGAAAAAAAAGGTAGCAGGTCCTTGAGAGTCCTGCAGCTGCCAGTCGTCATTGGTTCGTTGAACGGAGAAAAGTACCGCGCGTGTTCTACATCCTGACCGTTTAGTCGAGTACCTTGGAAGGGTAAGAAAATAGGGTTGAGGTCGTTAAAGTGTCGACAGGATGGGATGCAATTCGTAAGGAGTCAGCTTTTTTTTTGATGGATCATTAAATTACAGTGCTATCCAAAGATTTGTCTTCGTGATAGGTCTAGGGCAAAATGCAATTTTTGTTAATATTTTGATCAACACCTAATCCTCCCCCCTGAATTGTCCCAATAAATACAGCGGAGCCCAAACTGGTCCAGGCAACTTTGATGATTATTTTCGACGTTAATTTAATTGAAACAGAGAATCATCGTTTCGCAAGTGTTTGATTGCTCGGATAAAGGGGGCTTTGTTCAGTTACGCGAAACCCTTACTGCATTTTCGATGCAATTAATCTTACGTTGTCTTGCGGGGTCCAAGTACTAACGAACGTACGAATTTGCGTTGCCTCGGTAGATCTACACGGCGGCATTGAAGTTGTATCTCACCGAGCATTAATCTTATTTAAGTTAATTGCACAGCTTGCCTTGTTAGTCGAGCGTTCTGCACACACGCTCGCCTAACAAAATCCTGGTGGGTTTGCGCAATCGTAGCTTCGCTCGAAAATGGATAACAGAAGGTGTTTGGTCAGTTGATAAGAACAATTGAAATTTACTTGCAAAAGTGCATCACCGAGTCTGTCCAAGAAGTATATATCTTTCAAAGACATTCTCCAAGCTCCTCTTCTGTTTTCCTTTCGCCACCGAGGCACGAGGCAACGCAGCAACATCCGCCCTCGTCTACATGTAAACGAAATGGATTTATTTACGGTTCGAAAGGGGTTGCTGGGTTCGATCTTTGGCGACAGAAGGAAAAAGGGAAGCAAGCACTTCGAACGCCAGGCACCAGACGTAATCTCGTCTTACTCCTTCCTCGTATTATCGGCCACTAACTTCCGGTTAAATTTAGACGTACGAGCTTAGGCATCTATGTACTCACGTGGCCTGTATTTTCATCCTCTTTATCAGAATTTACGTGAAATTTATCCGAACGTATTGAAGGGGAATTGGAGGGTGGCCAGAAAATTGGAAAACGAACGAAGATTCTTCTTCTTGATTTAGGGATTACGATGTCTTCAGGGAAGAGTGGGCTGTTTCCATTCGTTTTCGAATTTAAAATCCTATGAATTCAAAGATATCTTCCAATGGATGCCTGAATTTGAAAAAATACATTCTTCATTGGATATTTAAAGAATTTTATTTCGCGTTTTCATACATGTAGATGGTTTCATGCATTTGATAGGAGTATGTACTTGTGCATATGCATTCAGTTTGCAAAATGGTATCGAACATAGATCGTCGACGAAAACTTGCTGGAATATGCAGAAAGAGTTGAGCATGGAAAAAGCTGCTACACGTCTCGTGTATTCGACTTTTGTACTCGGCAAATCGGTACGATCTTCCATGAAACTTTGCAATGGCGTTCGTATTTCCATCGGTGCAATCCTTTCGCGCGAACGATTTGTCATCACCGGTTGGATCGTCTGCGCCCACCCCTCGTCCACTCGTCCCAACCCCTCCCTGCAACGTTTCGATGCGCCAAAAGGGATGGCTGCAGTCGCCTCTAAGTGCATCGAAATTTATGAACCACCGTCTCTGACCCCCTCGCTGCTCGAATCTGTTGAACGATTAATGTTTCGTTTCTACGGCAGAATTTTATGCCGCGAGCGTGAAAAATGTTGCGGTTCCCTATCGCCATCCTTCGTGATGCTCCCTCGTTTTTAACATTTTATTTGAAAAATATAAAATTCAGTTCAAGTGGAACTTGGATTTTTAGCCTTCATTAGTCTTCCTGGTACCATGCTCTATGGACAGCAAGAATCCGTTCGGAAGATCGGCGACGCACGGTACTTTGACTCTGTTCAGTTAAAGATGATACTTGATCGTATCTCCAAATTTTATGCACCATCTTTTTCTCTTCACTTATAATTAGTCACATTTTATTACGAATATTTTCGCTTCCTGATCAGCGAAACGATCGTTTAAAGCTCCATTATGTCGGTCTTAAATATCCTCCCTATAGGACCCGGTCTTGCCGGTTGTTCTCGGTAACATTGTATCGTCCACGCATTCGCAATAAAGATGTATCATTATTATTATCCTCGCTAATAAATAGCAGTCGTGAAATTGCACAGCGAATGCATTCGTCCGGCGCAAACGTTCGCGTGGCATCGGTGTGCATAAAAGAGATTTAAGGGTGTCGTAAAATATCATTCGGGCGTTACGAGATTTCGTTTCGGTGGCGTGGCTACCCTTTCGAAAACCGGCTATCTTTTTGAGAGAAGCAGCGTCTTCTAATTATGCCGGAGATTCGCGATCGATAAAGAATTTCAAACGGGGAGGAGCACGGGATCGTTTCGCTTTCTTTTCCATCTCGTTTTTCACTTGAAATGAATTCTCCGTCGACTTCCATTCTCGTTTCGTTGCTGCGTGGGTGGCGAAACACGAGCACAGTGCGTGCGTTTTTTTTTTAACGGAACAACGATTATTATTGTTATCGACTCGGTTAAACGGCAATCGAGTTCTATTAATACAATGGCTACGAGAAATGGGCTCGAAACGTTGGAAGGTGTTATTACCGTGGCATTCGGTTCCTGTTCCCTATTGTTGCAACCAGTTCTAACCCTTTAT